AACAATATATATATTTAATAATATATAATAATAATAATAATAATATAATTAATAATATACATTACGACAGACATACCTACAACAACACAATAATTAATATAATATAATAATTAAACATTGCAGACAGACCCTAGCTACAACAAAACATAATAATATTCAATAATAATAATAATAATAATAATTATAATAATCAACATTACGACAGACATACACAACAATCGGACCGTGCTGTGTGACCAGGCTGACATTGCCGTACCTAATGCGGCCAGACAGTGCTCAATCACTGTCATCTGGAACCTCTCCACATGGTCATTACCCTACTAATCAGCATCCTGACGACTTCGAAAAATCGTTACGGTTAAGTTTAACCAGACTGTTGCTGTTCGCCTGAGAGCTCTAATAAATATCAATATTTTTGTTGACCGGTCACATTTTTTGCCCCCCAAAATAACCTTCCATTATAAATGATATTTTGACAAGTCTGTTATACCGGGATCAAGCTGCTTTCTTGTAACAGCCCTGGCTGTCACTCTGAAGCAATTATATATACAACTTTCATGTATATATATCTTAATTATATATAAATCGTCAGTGAATTTTATTCACAAATTCTAGATAATTCGCGTGATATATATTTATATATATATAATATATATATATATATATATATGTATATATATATATATATATATATATTATATATTATATATATTATATATATATATATATAATGTGTGTCTGTGTTTTAATATAAGATTCATTGCAACAACTGCAACATTAGTAACATTAGCAACAAATGTTGCAGCCACTGGAGGCGTGTTCCGACACGAAGTTCGGCAGTGACGCTTACTGGCGCTGCTTTGTGTTACACATGGCTACCACCTTCTATCACTTTGCTGGCACCTGCAAGATGGGACCAGATGCTGATCCTTTTAGTGTATTGGATCATAACCTCAAGTAAGTCTGTGATCCTCTCATTGTGTTGGATTATAACCTCAGGTAAGTCTGTGATCCTCTCATTGTGTTGGATTATAACTTCAGATAAGTCTGTGATCCTCTCATTGTGTTGGATTATAACTTCAGGTAAGTCTGTGATCCTCTCATTGTGTTGGATTATAACTTCAGATAAGTCTGTGATCCTCTCATTGTGTTGGATTATAACTTCAGGTAAGTCTGTGATCCTCTCATTGTGTTGGATTATAACTTCAGGTAAGTCTGTGATCCTCTCATTGTGTTGGATTATAACTTCAGGTAAGTCTGTGATCCTCTCATTGTGTTGGATTATAACCTCAGGTAAGTCTGTGATCCTCTCAGTATATTGGATCATAACTTCAAGTAAGTCTGTGATCCTCTGGGTGAGTGTTGGATCATAACTTCAAGTAAGTCTGTGATCCTTTGGGTGAGTGTTGGATCATAACTTCAAGTAAGTCTGTGATCCTTTGGGTGAGTGTTGGATCATAACTTGAAGTTTGTGATTCCCCTGTGTAGAGTTTATCATGACTTAATAAAACTCTACACATCAACAGCCCCTTAATTAACACAAATCACTGCTTTAACTACATTAATACCTTGATAACAATGTCAATCGCTCAACTTTTGTGGATCTTTCAGCACGAGGGATGGTGTACACACTCGATCCTCCGTTCCCTAATCGGGAGGAACACAATACCCAATTGCACTCATCTATTTTCCCCTTTTTGCAATCCAGGGTGCGTGGTGTGTCTGGCTTGAGGGTAGTGGACGCTTCTGTCATGCCCGTGGTTGTGTCGGGCAACCCTATGGCTGCCATCATCATGATAGCCGAGAAGGCTGCCCACCTCCTTAAACATGAGTGGGGAGCAACAGATTAAACGAGGACGTTCTTCAGGCATGGCTACGAATCAACAGGTTAAACGAGGATGTTCTTCAGGCATGGCTACGAATCAACAGGTTAAACGAGGATGTTCTTCAGGCATGCTACGAATCAACAGGTTAAACGAGGATGTTCTTCAGGCATGGCTACGAATCAACAGGTTAAACGAGGATGTTCTTCAGGCATGGCTACGAATCAACAGGTTAAACGAGGATGTTTTTCAGGCATGGCTACGAATCAACAGGTTAAACGAGGACGCTTCCATCTACCTCCTTTCCTACCTTCCCTCTTTCACACGGTGTTCAGTGCAACCTTTGTGTGTATGTCTGGGAAATAGTCTAGCCTTGAAGCTTCGTATGGATGGATTTCTCAATAACACACAAACACACACACACACACACACACACACACACACACACACACACACACACACACACACACACACACACACACACACACACACACACACACACACACACACACTAGCCTGTATTACCTTACCAGGGAATCGAGCCCGTGACCTTGTTACTTGTGACTTGAATACTCTATTACACCGAGTTATGAAGGCTGGTTTATCAGGTTTAAACCCTATCAACTACACGACGAAAGGTGTCTTCAATAGAAATTAAATTAATATAACCTAAATTAACATTAAAATGAAACATAACTGGAAAATTCTCAACATTTTAACATCTCTTGATTAACATGTTATGTTTAAGCTGTCACATTCTTTGTGTTTTACACACCAAAATCTTCTTGGGTAAAATGTCACTGTATGAAGATAGAGACAAGCTGCAGCACAAGCTAAGATCTGGGCTACGTTTCTCTCTGTGTAGAGCTTCATCAAGCCTCGATGAAGCTCTACAGAGAGTGAAACGTTGTCCAGGTAAGAGCTTCTTCTTTAACTTGTGTCCTTCTTTTTTTTCACCAAAATGCTCTTACGTAACTTATCAACTTTAGTATATGTGATATTGAGAGATCAATCCATTAAAGCCAAATACTATAGACCTAAGTTTGCCTGGAATCTGGTATGCCTATAGCTCAATGGGTGAACGTTAGTGGGTCACTTTCTAAATTCATTTGCACTCCTATTGTATATATATTTATATTATAGATGTTAGGTTCGTTATCCTAAACTTCAATGTGTATATACAGAAAACTTCCTCTATTGTATATAAATTCTCTATGTATATAATTAACTTCAAAATGAGTACATCATTTTTTTTACCAAATCATCCTCATTTTAGTGTTATCACTGCCATGATGTGTAAAGTTATCTTTGTCATCAACATAATCTCACATTTCAGGTTTCTAATAGCAGTATTCTGAGTAGGTAGGTGTTAGATAGATCTTAATTACTTCTCGGGAAACTGATGTCAGTGCTTATGGCATCTGAGTAACAGGAACTGTAGGGCCCTATACGGTACGAGCTGCCACAGCCCTTTAAGCCAACAATAACGACACTGGGTTATAAAGGGCTCATACAGCACGAGTTGTCATAGCCCTTAAAATCAACAATAACAAAACTGGGTTATATAGGGTTCATACACCATAAACCGTCATAGTCCTTAAGATCAACAGTAACAACAATGAGATTAAACATATAGTACAGCATCTTGAATAACGTCGTTTCGTTATAACGTTGGTAAGATAATCATACAAATGTATAATAAATGAAAGCGCTCAACGAGGCCACCATATTTGTTATTGTTTGCAGAACAAGCCATGGATGGAAATCCTTAGCTCAAGATCTTTCTTACTCTCCATGCGTCGTTAGGAGCAATGCAATGTTGCAAAGCTACCAACAGATAGGAGGAAAAATACTCTGAGACAAGGCAGAAGCGTAAAGCGTAAGGCCACGTTACATGGCTTAAAGTAGCAGTTTCCAAGAACCTATCGACGACATTAAGTGAGAATTTACTCTACTCGTTTACTGTGTAAGGTGTCAGTAGCCCTATAAAAACTCAACAGGAAGATACACTTGCTCCTCCCTCAGATGTTCACATTCTTTATCATTTTCCAACTTCTACATTTCAATATAACGTTTTTGTCAACTAAGAATTCAGTATTAGAGCCAAAAAGATTACGCTACTTCACGAACTGATTATAGTTGTCTGGTTTCTGTTTTACAAGGATGTGGTATCTGAAGTGTGGCTTCTCAAACTTTCCTCCAATAGAGTGGAGAAAGTAGGTCAATACAGTGTGTCTTGAAATTACTGGAAAAACTGGTGCATGATTGTGCCTCCACCAGTCGCCTTTTTTTTTTTTTTGTATTGACTGGCCCACAAGGCTTTAGCGCCCCACATAAAGGATGTCCTCCATGGTTCTTGCTGTAAATATTGTCTGGTCATGGTGGAGTTTTCCCAGCATGTACTACTGTATTTTAGCCTAGTCTTCCCTCGGCCTCTATTAATAAGACACATGTACAAGAGTTAGGTATCTTTAATCCATAATTTTTCAGAATAGATTCCTAACTACTGCACATGTGTCTTACTTATCAATTTACCGGTATTGTATACCATTATTATATTCCCTCGGCGTCTAACAAATGAAAAAATCTCATCTTAGATTACAATATTCCCCCCTATCATTCATTCTCAGATCAACATTGCTGTTCACTATGCCATATTTCCCTAATTTTAAGTATTTAATATATATAAAGAAACGTTTGCATTGTTTTATTTAAAAATTCCTTCGTTATAAACAAAATTATATACGCAGACAACGATAAGTTTTGTCTGTATGGAAACATAATACTGAGGGGCTATTCTTCCTCAGGTACAACACAGGATATATACACTGTAGAGGGATATTTTTCTCAGTGAATATATGCTGAGAATTTACTCTAATTCCTATTTTAGGTATTAAAGTATTCTTGTCTGATGGTTAAAATCTTATGGGCAGCCTTCATGACTTTCTTGTAGTCGATAGATACCAAACCCCATTAACCAACCAACCTCAGGTGTATGCCAGTGTATATACACTGGCAGTATACTTTAATCCCGGTTTTAGGCATTTAAGTATTTTCATGTAATAGGTTAAGCAGTGTCGGTATCTATCACAGTGTTACAGTCGCAGTATTATATTTGTATATATATATATATATATATATATATATATATATATATATATATATATATATATATTATATATATATATATATATATATATATATATATATATATATATATATATATGTCGTGCCGAATATGTAAAACTGGTCAATTAGCAAGAACTCATTTAAAATTAAGTCCTTTCTGAAATTTTCTTTTGTATGTTTAAAGATATATTTTTTTCATTAATGTTAATGTAAATTTTTTTAATTTTGCACCAAAAGAATCTTAGAAAACTTACCTAACCTTATTATAACAAGAACAATTTATTTTAGCCTAACCCAACTAAATATATTTTAAATACGTTTACAATAATTTAATACTAAACAAACACAGTGAAATATATTTTTTTCCTTAGGTTCAGAATGATTTTGGCGAAATTATTGCATACACAAATTTTCACTTGTCCTATATGGCAAGATGAGCGTTGCTATTTAAGCCAAGATCGCAAGTTCTGCCTATTCGGCACGACATTATATATACGTATATATTATATATATATATATTATATATATATATTATATATATATATATATATATATTATTATATATATTAATATATATATATATAATATAGGGAGGTACCACCTCTAGTGCATTAGTCAAGAAGATTGTTCCCGAACTCTTGAGAGACGTGGTAGGAGCTCAAGACCCCAGGTTTACTGAAGCAGCGATTCGGTGGGACACCCTTACAGACTCCTCCAGTAGACCAGCTCCTCCCAAACAGCACAAACAGTCCCACTGGGACAAACCGATCATGGAAAAAATCGCCAACATAATGCTCCCCAATGCTTCAGGAAAGAGTAAAGCTCGTCTCCTGGCAGTGAAGGCACCACACTCAGGAGATTTTCTGTTAGCTGTTCCCAATTCCTCCCTGGGCACTCGACTAGACCCACAGGCCATTCGGATTGGTGTTGCTCTTCGCCTAGCCGCCCCCATCCTCACCGAACATAGGTGTATTTGCGGCAGGGCGACAGCTGATTAATTCGGACTTCATGGTCTCGTGTGTCACACAGCAGAAGGGAAATATGCCAGGCATGAGAAAGTCACTGACATCATAAAGAGAAGCCTCGCCACAGCCCGTTGCCCAGCTCAACTGGAACCCCAAGTGCAGAGGTCTGATGGAAGTCAAAAGCGTCCTGATGGAGCCACTATGCTGCCTTGGAAGGATGGAAAGCAGATTGCCTGGGACTACACATGTGCTGCCACATTGGCAGACACCTACTTGCCATACTCCGTAGTGGAAGGGGGTGGAGCTGCCGGCCACAGGGAGACCCAGAAAATCCGCAAATATGAAGACCTTCCCCCTTGCTATAACTTCATCCCAATAGGGTCGGAGACCCTTGGAGCATGGGGCAAGTGTGCTCTAAAGTTCCTAATAGAGCTGGGTGAAAAGCTCATCATAGAAACCAAGGACCACAGGGCGACCAGCTTCCTCTTTCAGAGACTCAGTGTTGCGATCCAGAGAGGAAATGCCTGCAGCATTCTGGGCATGCGGCCCACCGCCAGGGAGCTGGACGAAGTATTCCAGATGTAGCTCTGAGTTACCTATGTTGTTTTACTTTCTATCGTATTTTTGTGAATGTTTTGTCAATGTATTTTGTCTTTAAATAAAAAATATATAAAATATAGGGGGTTGTAGGAGAAAATTATATATATATATATATATATATATATATATATATATATATATATATATATATATATATATATATATATATATATATATATATATATATATATTTCTTTTTCTGTCTCATAAACACGCTAGATAACAGGGATATTTTGCTACTCCTACTTACACTTTGGTCACATTTCACAGACACGCACATGCATATATATATACATACATCTAGGTTTTTCTCCTTTTCCTAAATAGCTCTTGTTCTTCTTTATTTCTTCTATTGTCCATGGGGAAGTGGAAAAGAATCTTTCCTCCGTAAGCCATGCGTGTCGTATGAGGCGACTAAAATGCCGGGAGCAATGGGCTAGTAACCCCTTCTCCTGTAGACATTTACTAAAAAAGAGAAGAAGAAAAACTTTATAAAACTGGGATGCTTAAATGTGCGTGGATGTAGTGCGGATGACAAGAAACAGATGATTGCTGATGTTATGAATGAAAAGAAGTTGGATGTCCTGGCCCTAAGCGAAACAAAGCTGAAGGGGGTAGGGGAGTTTCGGTGGGGGGAAATAAATGGGATTAAATCCGGAGTATCTGAGAGAGTTAGAGCAAAGGAAGGGGTAGCAGTAATATTGAAGGATCAGTTATGGAAGGAGAAAAGAGAATATGAATGTAAATTCAAGAATTATGTGGATTAAAGTAAAGGCTGGATGCGAAAAGTGGGTCATAATAAGCGTGTATGCACCTGGAGAAGAGAGGAATGTAGAGGAGAGAGAGAGATTCTGGGAGATGTTAAGTGAATGTATAGGAGCCTTTGAACCAAGTGAGAGAGTAATTGTGGTAGGGGAACCAAGTGAGAGAGTAATTGTGGTAGGGGACCTGAATGCTAAAGTAGGAGAAACTTTTAGAGAGGGTGTGGTAGGTAAGTTTGGGGTGCCAGGTGTAAATGATAATGGGAGCCCTTTGATTGAACTTTGTATAGAAAGGGGTTTAGTTATAGGTAATACATATTTTAAGAAAAAGAGGATAAATAAGTATACAAGATATGATGCAGGGCGTAATGACAGTAGTTTGTTGGATTATGTGTTGGTAGATAAAAGACTGTTGAGTAGACTTCAGGATGTACATGTTTATAGAGGGGCCACAGATATATCAGATCACTTTCTAGTTGTAGCTACAATGAGAGTAAAAGGTAGATGGGATACAAGGAGAATAGAAGCTTCAGGGAAGAGAGAGGTGAATGTTTATAAACTAAAAGAGGAGGCAGTTAGGGTAAGATATAAACAGCTATTGGAGGATAGATGGGCTAATGAGAGCATAGGCAATGGGGTCGAAGAGGTATGGAGTAGGTTTAAAAATGTAGTGTTAGAGTGTTCAGCAGAAGTTTGTGGTTATAGGAAAGTGGGTGCGGGAGGGAAGAGGAGCGATTGGTGGAATGATAATGTAAAGAGAGTAGTAAGGGAGAAAAAGTTAGCATATGAGAAGTTTTTACAAAGTAGAAGTGATGCAAGGAGGGAAGAGTATATGGAGAAAAAGAGAGAGGTTAAGAGAGTGGTGAAGCAATGTAAAAAGAGAGCAAATGAGAGAGTGGGTGAGATGTTATCAACAAATTTTGTTGAAAATAAGAAAAAGTTTTGGAGTGAGATTAACAAGTTAAGGAAGCCTAGAGAACAAATGGATTTGTCAGTTAAAAATAGGAGAGGAGAGTTATTAAATGGAGAGTTAGAGGTATTGGGAAGATGGAGGGAATATTTTGAGGAATTGTTAAATGTTGATGAAGATAGGGAAGCTGTGATTTCGTGTATAGGGCAAGGAGGACTAACATCTTGTAGGAGTGAGGAAGAGCCAGTTGTGAGTGTGGGGGAAGTTCGCGAGGCAGTAGGTAAAATGAAAGGGGGTAAGGCAGCCGGGATTGATGGGATAAAGATAGAAATGTTAAAAGCAGGTGGGGATATAGTTTTGGAGTGGTTGGTGCAATTATTTAATAAATGTATGGAAGAGGGTAAGGTACCTAGGGATTGGCAGAGAGCATGCATAGTTCCTTTGTATAAAGGCAAAGGGGACAAAAGAGAGTGCAAAAATTATAGGGGGATAAGTCTGTTGAGTATACCTGGTAAAGTGTATGGTAGAGTTATTATTGAAAGAATTAAGAGTAAGACGGATAGCAGATGAACAAGGAGGCTTTAGGAAAGGTAGGGGGTGTGTGGACCAGGTGTTTACAGTGAAACATATAAGTGAACAGTATTTAGATAAGGCTAAAGAGGTCTTTGTGGCATTTATGTATTTGGAAAAGGCATATGACAGGGTGGATAGGGGGGCAATGTGGCAGATGTTGCAGGTGTATGGTGTAGGAGGTAGGTTACTGAAAGCAGTGAAGAGTTTTTACGAGGATAGTGAGGCTCAAGTTAGAGTATGTAGGAAAGAGGGAAATTATTTCCCAGTAAAAGTAGGCCTTAGACAAGGATGTGTGATGTCACCGTGGTTATTTAATATATTTATAGATGGGGTTGTAAGAGAAGTAAATGCGAGGGTCTTGGCAAGAGGCATGGAGTTAAAAGATAAAGAATCACACATAAAGTGGGAGTTGTCACAGTTGCTCTTTGCTGATGATACTGTGCTCTTGGGAGATTCTGAAGAGAAGTTGCAGAGATTGGGGGATGAATTTGGTATGGTGTGCAAAAGAAGAAAATTAAAAGTGAATACAGGAAAGAGTAAGGTTATGAGGATAACAAAAAGATTAGGTGATGAAAGATTGGATATCAGATTGGAGGGGGAGAGTATGGAGGAGGTGAATGTATTCAGATATTTGGGAGTGGACGTGTCAGCGGATGGGTCTATGAAAGATGAGGTGAATCATAGAATTGATGAGGGGAAAAGGGTGAGTGGTGCACTTAGGAGTCTGTGGAGACAAAGAACTTTGTCCTTGGAGGCAAAGAGGGGAATGTATGAGAGTATAGTTTTACCAACGCTCTTATATGGGTGTGAAGCATGGGTGATGAATGTTGCAGCGAGGAGAAGGCTGGAGGCAGTGGAGATGTCATGTCTGAGAGCAATGTGTGGTGTGAATATAATGCAGAGAATTCGTAGTTTGGAAGTTAGGAGGAGGTGCGGGATTACCAAAACTGTTGTCCAGAGGGCTGAGGAAGGGTTGTTGACGTGGTGCGGACATGTAGAGAGAATGGAGCGAAACAGAATGACTTCAAGAGTGTATCAGTCTGTAGTGGAAGGAAGGCGGGGTAGGGGTCGGCCTAGCAAAGGTTGGAGGGAGGGGGTAAAGGAGGTTTTGTGTTCGAGGGGCTTGGACTTCCAGCAGGCATGTGTGAGCGTGTTTGATAGGAGTGAATGGAGACAAATGGTTTTTAATAATTGACGTGCTGTTGGAATGTGAGCAAAGTAACATTTAAAGGGTTCAGGGAAACCGGCAGGCCGGACTTGAGTCCTGGAGATGGGAAGTACAGTGCCTGCACTCTGAAGGAGGGGTGTTAATGTTGCAGTTTAAAAACTGTAGTGTAAAGCACCCTTCTGGCAAGACAGTGATGGAGTGAATGATGGTGAAAGTTTTTCTTTTTCGGGCCACCCTGCCTTGGTGGGAATCGGCCAGTGTGATAATAAATAAATAATATTATATATATATATATATATATTATATATATATATATATATATATATATTTTATATATATATATATATTATATATATATTAGTGTGTGTGTATACCATTAATGAGGCGACGTAGCCAAGTATACACGACCCTCCAAGTATACACGACCCTCCAAGTATACACGACCCTCCAAGTATACACGACCCTCCAAGTATACACGCCTCTCAAAGTATACACACACTGTTCTCGATTCATGTATACAAATACACGATAAAACCTATCTGAATATGTAAACACAGAAGTTCCTAAGTAGTAAATAGGTTCTACGTGTAGTAAATAGGTTCTACGTGTAATATATAGGTTCTACGTGTTATGACTTCATAAAGGTCTACGCAGAGCGAAACGTTGTATAGCTGGAGAAGGTTCCGGGGGTCAACGCCCCTGCGGCCCAGTCCATGACCAAGCCTCGTGGTAGATCAAGACCTGATCAACCAGGCTGTTACTGCTGCTTTCACGTAAACCAACGTACGAACCATATCACGGCTGGTCAAGTACTGACTTTAGGTGTCTCTAAAAAAAAATTAAGCTTCGTTACGCCAGCTTGTGTCACTGTCTCGCGCGTTCTTGAGCCAAGCTGGTGCTGCTCCACGAAGACAATAGAGCTTTAACCCATTAAAGCTTAATTAATAAAAAAGAGAGCTCCACTTAACGAATCAACAAGTGGGTAGGACACTTATCACCCCAAGTATGCGCTAACGAGTCTCCCTTAATACGTCTTTATTACCCTCGTTAAGGTCCCCTTTAACACAAGTATACCGCACTGTTGTTTTTGTTATGTAGTCTGTTCAAGGTCAATGTTGATTGGGTAATGTCTCGCCGTCACGAACGAGCGAAATGTTCCCTACTTGGTTGGATATATGAGGCGAAGTTCTGGGAATATGTGAGTGTTGTGTGAGGGAGTCGAGGCACGCGAGCCTCACACAACACGAAATGAAGTGGAATTTAGAGAGAGAAAAAATCCTAAGTGGGTGGCTGTTATTTTTTGTTCTTAGTTCAGCTGTGAAAACAAATGGTTAGAAGACGGAGAGAATGAAGGGGAGAAGTAATGAAGATTAGGGAGAAGGATGAGAGAGGTGAATGAAAGGAGAATAAGATGAAATAATTGAATGATTTTTCGGGGGTTTATACTGGTGGGTAATTTAGACATATATGTTACCATTAATCGCGAACAAGCAATACAAGATACATAAGAACCAAGGAGGGAGTTGAATGGTAGTTCTAGGCCTTTCATGTTGCAATAAACAAATCATCAGGAGCTTGCAATGTTGGAGAAATGAGTAGAAAGTCCAAGCAAAGACGCTCCCCTGAGCGAATCTACCTGGACTTCATACTCATTTTTGCAACACTGGAAGCTCCTGATGATGTGTTGATTGCAACACGAAAGGCCTAGAGCTATCACTCAGCTTTCCCTGTTATTGTTTCACATATATGTTACTATGTATGGTAATTGTACTTATGTGTACCTGTACCTAAATCAACTTAAGAGGCAACAGATAAGTAGGTAAACGCGTCTCTTATTCAGATTACTTACACAAGTAAAGATTTATTTAAAATTCTGTGCAAATTACCAAGGATAACTCAGTAAAGTCAAACAGTGCTTTCTTTCACGGGAAGAAGAAGAAGAAGAAGAAGAAGAAGAAGAAGAAGAAGAAGAAGAAGAAGAAGAAGAAGAAGAAGAAGAAGAAGAAGAAGAAGAAGAAGAAGAAGAGGAAGAAGAAGAAGAAGAAAAAGAAAAAATAGTGAGAGGGTGGCACACAGTGTAAGGGTCTCGCCCCCACGTTGATCTACACCCTGTGTGGGTGGGGTTTAACGTGCCATCCTATTACTTAACGAGTGAATTGCGTGCCTGCGTTACACAGAATAAACACACCTCTGTCACCCCCTGAGTCTATGAGGCGTGATGGCTGGTGTACAGGAGGCGTGTGACGGTAGCAGCTGTGTCTGTTTTCTTAAGAGAAAAGTGCAAGGATGTCTGCGGTGAAGACGGAAGTCGTAAAACAGATGGTGTCATGGATGAGGGTGGAGTTATGGCAAGTAAACAGTGTCGCCTGCCTTCAGTGGGTCAGTCTCTTGTAGGGACGCCTCGGGAAGAGTCCTGTGTCAGGAGTGAAGGAAGGATCCTCTGTAAGGAGTGAGGAACAGCCCTTTGAAAGGAGGGAGGATCCTGTATGAGGAGTGAGGGACAGTCCTCTGTCAAGAGTAAGGAAGAATCCTCTGTGAGGAGTGAGAGACAGTCCTTTGTAAGGAGTAAGGAAGGATCCTGTGTATGGAGAGAAAAGGCACAGTCCTGTGACAGGAGCGAGGGAGGATCCTGTATAAGGAGAGATAGTTCTTTGCAAACAAAGAAGGATCCTGTATAAGGAGAGAGGGACAGTCCTTTGCAAGAAGGAAGGATTCTGTGTCAGTAGTGAAGAAGGGGAAATTCAAGTGTTGAGAAGTAGTTCAGGTGTAAATGAGTATCTTGTACTTCTGTAGTACCAACAGCAACGTCAGCCACCAGCCTCACACCTCCTTCTAGACGTCACATTTCTTCAAGTTTCTTAATAACAGCGGTGAGACTTTCGTTCAGATACAGTACCCTTATCTTAAGACCGAGGCAATAGCGTTTGAGAATGATACACTTATGCAACATTTGGGATTCTTTGTGGGAACGTTTCGCTAGCCAGTGGCTTCTTCAGTCCAGTACAGAGAAAATGATGAAAGGTAAGGAGTTTGAGGTGATCAGTCCCTCAGCCTGAAGTCGATGTGTTCAGCCCATCAGTCTTGAGAGAATCACATTGATTCCAGTCTGAGGCTCATTACCTCATACTCCCCTTCATCTTCCACCGTTTTCCTCTGTATAGGACTGAAGACGCCACTGGCTGGCCAAACGTTCCCTCAGTTAACATTCCCAAATGTTCCACATGTGTCTCATTCTTCGACTTGTTGGTTTTTTTAACCAATTCATCAAAATTGTGTTGCAATTTACAATCTACAACCTAAAGGTGATAAAAGTCTTTTTTTTATGCAACAGGTGTTGTCCGCCAGGGTACCTGCTGAGACCTCGTCGACTTACGGGATTAAGAACTAAATTTGGATAAGTTAATGGAGATAAGGCACTGGAGAGCAGCATACTCTAGGATATGGAATTTATATATAGTGCCGAGGCATTCAAAAACAAAAAAACTGGCATAGACGGTGGAAAATTTTCAGCTCCCAAAATTTATCCATAGATCAAAGCGTTTTCAATCATCTTTCGTTTTATTATTGGAAAATTAGGTAAAATAATTGTAGGGTGACCCTTGCGAGTTTAGCGCTCAGTTATGATTATAATAATGATAATGTAATGAAATCCCCGCCCCCACTCTCCCCCCCTAAAAAATCAGTCAAATTTTAGCTTTGGTCATTTAGGTAAAATTTTAAGTGGCGTCTCTGGTGGCGCTGTCGGAGTTAATATTTCCTGTACGACCCCTGCGAGTTTAGCGCTTAGTTATGATAATAATGTAGAGTCTATATTTAAGAATAGTTTCTTTACAGTGTGACCTGGGTAACAAGGTGGAGCAGACAGTGGCACTTTTATACTTAACACCTCGCTTATACTGAACACAACAAGGAAAATACTCAACAAATTGTACTTTAAGGTCATGAATGGTGGTAGTGGTGGTAGTGGTGGTAGTAGTGGTAGTGGTAGTGGTGGTAGTGGTAGTGGTGGTGGTAGTGGTGGTGGTAGTGGTGGTGGTAGTGGTAGTGGTGGTAGTGGTGGTAGTGGTGGTAGTGGTGGTGGTAGTGGTGTGGTAATGTGTGGTGTAGTGGTGGTGGTGGTGGTAGTGGTGTGGTTGTAGTGGTGTAGTGGTAGTGGTAGTGGTGGTAGTGGTGGTGTAGTAGGTGGTAGTGGTGGTGGTGTGGTGGTAGTGTGGTAGTGGTAGTGGTGGTAGTGGTGTGGTAGTGGGGTGGGTGGTAGTGGTGTGTGGTGGTAGTGGTGGTGGGTAGTGGTAGTGGTGGTAGTGGTAGTGGGTGTAGTGGTGGGTGGGTGGTAGTGGGTGGTGGTAGTGGTGTGGTGGTAGTGGTGGTGGTGGTAGTGGGGTAGTGGTGGGTAGTGGTAGTGGTGGTGGTAGTGGTGGTGGTAGTGGTGTGTAGTGGTGGTGTGGTGGTGTGGTAGTGGTGGTAGTTGTGTAGTGGTGGTAGTGGTGGTGGTAGTGGATGGTGGTAGTGGGTGGTGGTAGAGGTAGTGGTGGTGAGTGGTGGTGTGGTGGTAGGTGTGGTAGTGTAGTGGTGGGTAGTGGTATGTGGTGGTGGTAGTGGTGGTGGTGGTGGTAGTGGTAGTGTGTGGTGGTAGTGGTGGTTGGTGTGGTGGTAGTGGTGGTGGTGTTAGTGGTGGTAGTGGTGGGTAGTGGTGGTGGTATGGTGGGTGGTAGTGGTGGTGGTGGTGGTGTGGTAGTTGGTGGTAGTGGTAGTGGTGGTGGGTGGTGGTGGTGGTGGTGGTAGTGGTGGTAGGGTAGTGGTGGTGGTAGTGGTAGGGTGGTGGTAGTGGGGTGGTTGGTGGTGGTGGTGGTAGTGTAGTGGTGGTGGTAGTGGTGTGGTAGTGGTAGTGGTGGTGGTAGTGGTAGTGGTGGTGGGTAGTGGTGGTAGGGTGGTGGTGGTGAGTGGTGGTGGGTGGGAGGTGTGTAGTGGTGGTGGGTGGTGGTAGTGGTGAGGTGGTGGGGTAGTGGTGGGTTGGTAGGTGGTAGTGGTGGTGGTGGTGGTTAGTGGGGTGTGTAGTGGTGGTGGAAGTGTGGAGTTGTGGTGGTGAGTGGTGGTTGGTAGTGGTGGTGGTTGTGGTAGTGTGTGGTAGTGGTAGTGGTGGTGGTAGTGGTGGTGGTAGGTAGTGGCTAGGTGGTGGTAGTGGTGGTAGTGTTAGTGGTATTGGTGGTAGTGGTAGTGGTGGTGGTAGTGGTGGGGTAGTGGTAGTGGTGGTGTAGGGTAGTGGTGTGGTAGTGGTAGGTTGTAGTGGTGGTGGTAGTGGTTGAGTGGGTGGTAATTTGTGGTGGTAGTGGAGTGGTGGTGGTAAGTTGGTAGTGGTAGTGTTGTGTATGGTGTGTGGTATGTATTTTGTGATGTATGTAGTTTTGTAGTGGTAGTGGTGTTGGTTTAGTGGTAGTGTGGTTAGTGGTTGGTTTATGGTTTAGTGTAGTGTGTTTATGGTACTTAGTGTGTTTATGGTAGTGATAGTGGTAGTGGTGGTGGTTAGTGGTAGTGGTGGTAGGTGTAGTGAGTTAGTTTATGGCTAGTTGATTTTGCTTTACTGTGGTAGTTGTGAGTATGGTGTTGGTAGTTAGTGGTGGTGGTAGTGGTAGTGGTGGTGGTGGTAGTGGTGGGTGGTGTTGGTAGTGTGGTGGTAGTGGTAGTGGTAGTGGTAGTTGAGTGGTGTGTAGTGGTGTGGTGGTGGTAGTGGTAAGTGTGGTGGTAGTGGTAGTGGTGGTGGTAGTGGTGGTGGTAGGTGGTTAGTGGTGGTGGTAGTGGTAGTGGTGGTGGTATGGTGGTGAATAGTGGTGGTGTGTGTAGTGGTGGTGGTATGGTAGTGGTGGTGGTAGTGTAGTGGTGGTTGGTAGTGGTAGTGGTAGTGGTAGTGGTAGGATGGGTAGTGGTGGTGGTGTGGTAGTGGTGGTGTGTGTAGTGGTGTGTAGGTAGTGGTAGTGGTGGTGGTGTGGTAGTGGTATTGGGGTAGTGGTAGTGGTAGTGGTGTGGTAGTGGTAGTGGTGTGGTGTGGTGGTAGTAGTGGTGTGGTTGTGGTAGTGTAGTGTGGTGGTAGTGGTAGTGGTGGTGGTAGTGTGGTGGTAGTGGTGGTTGGTATGTAGTGGTGGTGGTAGTGGTAGTGGTGGTGGTAGGGGTGGTGGTTGATAGTGGTAGTGGTAGTGGTTGTGGTAGGATTAGTTAGTGGTAGTGGTAGTAGGTGGGGATAGTTGTTGGTAGTGAAGTGGATGAGGTGTGGTAGTGGTGGTTGGGTGGTGGTGGTGGTGGTAGTGGTGGTTAGTAGTGGTAGTGGTGGTGGTAGTGGTAGTGGTGGTGGTAGTGGTGGTGTAGTGGTATGGTGGTGGTAGTGGTGGTGAGTAGGTGGTGTAGTGTAGTGGTGGTGGTTAGTGGTGTGGTGGTGGTAGTGGTAGTGGTGGTGGTAGTGGTCGGTGGTAGTGGTATGTGGTGGTGGTAGTGGTTAGTGTAGTGTAGTGGTGTAGTGGTTGGTTGAGGTAGTGGTGGTGGTATGTAGTGTGGTAGTTAGTGGTAGTGGTAGTGGTGGTGGTAGTGGTAAGTGGTGGTGGTAGTAGTGGTGTGTAGTGGTGGTGGTAGTGATGGTGGTGGTAGTGGTAGTGGTGGTGGTTTGGTAGTGGTGGTGGTAGTGGTATGGTGTGTTAATGGTGGGGTAGTGGTAGTGGTGGTGGTATGGTGGTAGTGTGTAGTGGTAGTGGTGGTGGTAGTGGTGGTTGGTAGTGGTAGGTTGGTGGTGGTAGTGTAGTGGTGGGAGGTGGTAGTGGTGTGGTAGTGGTAGTGGTGGTGGTAGTGGTGGTTTGGAGTGTAGTGGTGGTGTAGTGGTGGTTTGTGGTAGTGGTGGTAGTTAGTGTAGGGTGGTGGTGGGTTGTGGTAGTGGGTATGGTAGTGGTTTAGTGGTGGTGGTGGTGTAGTGGAGGTATGTTAGTGGTAGTGGTGGTGGTAGTGTAGTGGTTGAGTGTTTGTAGTGAAGTGTGTAGTGGTAGGTGGTGGGTGTGTGGTGGTGTGGTAGGGTGGTATTGGTGGTTAGTGGTAGTGGTAGTGGTGGGTAGTGGTGTTGAGTTATTGGTGTGTGAGGGATGTGGTAGTGTGTAGTGTGTAGTGGTGTAGTGGTTGTTAGTGGTTGTGGTACGATAGTGAGGAGTGGTTGTGGTAGTGGTAGTGGTGTGGTAGTTGGGTGGTAGTAGGTGGTGGTATGTGGTAGTGGTGGTTGGTAGGGTGGTGGTGGTGTGGTAGTGGTGTTGGGTAGGTGGTGGTGGTTGGTAGGTGGTAGGTGGTAGTGGTATGGTGGTAGGGTAGTGGTGTGGTGGTGGTAGTGGTGTGTGTGGTAGTGGGGTGGTGGTAGTGGTGGTGGGTAGTGGAGTGGTGGTGGTATGTGGATGAGTGGTGTGGTAAGTGGGGTGGTGGTAGTGGTAGTGGTAGTGTTGTGGTGGTGGTAGTGGTGGGATGGTGTGGTGGTAGCTGGTAGTGGTGTGTGGTAG